TGATGATCGAAGTCTCTCGCTTTCTCAACCGACAATTTCTCCTCCCCGTCCGATGGATTCTCCGGCAATCCGACGGCCACCGACTCTTCTCCTCCCAAACCTTCTTCCTCCGACACCTTCTCCGTCAATTCACGACCTTCTTGATGATGCGGCAGTGTTTCTTCAATTTCCTCAACTCGATGAACCGGTTTGTCTTCGAATTGAAATTGATCGACCTCCTTCACTTCTCCGACGAACTCAACCCTCCTCTGGCCATGAAAAGCCTCTTCCACTTTCAGTCTCCTCTCTTCGAAACTCACCTCCTCCAAAACAACACCTCCACCGGCATTCTCACACTCTCTGAACTCCGCTTCCGATTCACGGCCAGCCACCGCCATGGCAACGAGCTTCGCAACCAGGAAAGAGAGAATCAGCGCGAAAGACGCCGTCAAAAACAGGTCCTGTATGAGCTCCATATTGATGACTAAAACTACAAAACGCTTCAAACAAACGAATTGGTGAACGAAAGCCAAATAAAATTAAAGAGCGATGGCGATGAGTTTGAAAAGTTTATAGAGGAAAAAAGAGAGATTATGTAAATAAATAAATAAAAATTAAAATAATCATAGGTGAGCAAAGAGAAAGGGATATTTGCAGAGCAGAGCGAAGCATATTCTGATGTTTAATTATGCTCTTTTTGCTTTGCCCTGGCGTCACTTTTTCCGATGGACACGTTTGGTCACCGTATTGGTTAAGGTTAAATTGTGCATGCATTATTTAACAGTGCTTGTGAAGCTGCTCGACCTTTTCTGGGTCAAATTTGTCTTTTTAGCGAAGCGTTTTCGTTCTTATCCTGTCCCATGCAATTTGGTGACGGCGGTGATTGATTGGTTGGTGTTTGAGGTTTTAATGACGGTAGATGGAGTCATGTGCATTGCGGGTTTTGATTTTTGCACGTCCTGGTCAGCTTCGTGGACTTTGGACTTTGGAAGAAACCCACTCAACGAATCCGGGTTCCTTTTTTGGGATTCTTTTCACTTTTTGGAACTTTTATTTTTGGACTCAAGGAATCAGCCAATCAGTTGACATATTGTCAATGTCACTCTATTGGGCTTCCCAAATTGGGCCTTCTCTTGTCAAGAGAGCTAGTTTGGGCCTCCAAATAAGACCAAGTAAGCAAAAACCCGAGTCATTCTATGGTGAGGGTGTCATATATGGACCATTGATGTAGACTTTCATATTAGCCGTATGAGTCATTTGAATAGTAACTTGACTTAAGTTTTAATGAAATGATCATGTTGCTAATATGAAGGTACACATGAGGAGTATATAATTTCGTGCAAAAACCCACAAATGGGTGATTGATTGTTTTGGTTAAGATTCTATAGTTAAGACCTTATATATGGCCTTAACTCTTAGATCAAATTGGCTAGCCATTGGATCAATTTGGTTAGCATGATCCAAGGATTAAGAGATAGGACCTCACCTAAAGGCCATATATAAGGCCCTAATTATAGAATGACTCTTGTTTTGGTACCTTTTTTTATTGTATATTCAATTTAGGGTTAATTATTATTTCCATCCATATAAATTGGGCGATCTTCTATTTTTTTGACAAAGCCACATTCTAAACTACTCTAATATATGAGGAGAGAAATTAAACTCTAGTGTAAATGGGCATTTTTCTATTTATAATTTATTTGTGTGAGAATGTGAAGAAATGTCTCACAATAGAAAGTTGTTACAGTTGAAGAATTCTAAAATAGAAAACATACAAATACCGAAAATTGAAACTACAAAGTCAAATATTGTTAAAACTATAATAACCAAAATCAACTAGTTATATATACTGATATTTATCAATCAAATATTTTTATAAAAAAAATCCAAGTTCAAATCCTCGTTTTTCTATCATTCAAAAGAAAACTAGGGGAGCAAAACATAATTGGGCCTCGAATTTATTGTTGTAGCTTTCAAACTACCACCTAACTGTGACTCTTGACAGAAGAAAAAGAGTAGTGTGCATTGCCTTGTGCAGGCTCCAATGGATGCTTCACCGTATTGGGTAGCATGGGTCCACCACTTATAGACAATACTATTTTATCTACTACCAAGTATATCGCCACCACAAATTGTTGTGAGCTCCAGCTGTACAAGTATCACTACTGAGCATACCACTATTTGTGGCATCCATTAATTTGTTTGGTTGGGTCAATCTAAATGAAACATCTTATAGACCTGGGTGGAAAATTAAAAATAAAAAGAAGTTTGTTTCACATTGGTGTGGTCTGTGGTTTGTGTGTTGATGTCTCAATCTATAGCTGCCCTCATTGGCCTCAAGGCTCAAGGGGAAGTTTCTTGGTAGCCCTCGGATATGTGTGGTTTCTTTCCTGGATCCAACAATACCTAATTGATGAGAGTGATCTATATAATGTACCTCGTCATCATCTCTATTTCTTGCCCATTCTTAAAGCCTTGTGCTTCTTCTGTCTGCTACTAGTAGCAAACCTGTCCTGCAAGTACTCGGAGAAGAAGGACAAGCAATGGGAGGCGGCAATGGTCAGAAGTCCAAGATGGCTCGCCAGAGGAACATGGAGAAGCAAAAAGCTGCTGCCAAAGGTACTCTAAATTCTAAGTTCTAAGCCACTAAACAGAGACATATATATAGTTTTGTAAACAGGGGAACTTATAAGTTGGTGATTAATTTGTGCATCTTTAGGTGAGCAGGAAGCCAGCTTGAGTCAAACAAGAAATCAATGACAATACAGGTAAAGTCTTGTTTCTAGCTCCTTTTTCTTGTTTTTGACTGTGAGATTGTCGTAAGAGAATGAACTTGTAGATGAAGCTACTTGGCATAAAAATTTCTGGTACTTTGAGCACTTGCTTTGTTTCTGATACAAGATGGTGGTTGATGATTGCAGTGCAAGGTGTGCATGCAGGTTTTTATTTGCACCACGTCTGAGGTGAAGTGCAGGGAGCATGCAGAAGCAAAACATCCCAAATCTGATGTTTATACATGTTTCCCTCACCTTCAGAAATGAGAAAAACAATCCTAAGTGAGAAGGACTCTTCTTCTGCATAGTCCTTCCTAGACTCTTGGATTTTAATTAGCTAAAGCTTTTCTCGAATATGTCATAAATGTGCGCACGTTTGTTAAATCGAAGATTGTATTTGAAACTTGAATATGGATCAGCATAATCCAGAATCTAAAATATGCAAAACAAAGCAAAAAGAATTCGAGACAAATGAAATACTGTTGCATTGCATTCTGATTAATTGCTAAATCGAAATTAGTAAAAATTACAAATACACAATCAGAGGAGAGAAGAAAGAATACCAGCATTTAAAAAATATATAATCAGAAAAAATGGATGCAATGAACAGCCTAAGCTAGGTAAATATTTTTTTTGTTTGTGATCATACACAGGCTACAGCCAAAGAAAAAGGGTATACAAGCTTGTTTACCAAAAGATTCTGCGGGAGTCTAGTGTTACTGAGTCCGCATCCGGCTATTTTCTGCACTTCTCACTTGGGAGAAATATGGATGTGCCTGAAACATAGAATATTGGAACCCAACAGTGAAAATTCTATTTCGTGCTTAACCATTGAGCATAATATGCATCTTATTACGATACTCAAGGTTTTGTATCTAAACAATTGTGTATGTAGACATATATATTAAACACAAGTGAGGGAAAAAGAAACAGCTGCTAAATCTTAAATAATACCATTGATGTCCATATTTACTCTACTCATCAAAGTTTATTGCCTGAGTTGTCCAAAGTTTGGGTTGATACAACCCAAGTCCTACCCATGGAGGAAAAGAAAATGAAAGGATGAGTCATTATGTCTTTTAAGAATCTAGATGAAAACTAACAATTCAATTGATTGGTTAAAAAGTTAAATGATAAAAGAGATTCTACCTTGAAGCTACTCGGACATTGTACTCTTTGCCGGGATGGTAGAATTCAGCGAGACCCCAATCAATCAAGCGAAGTTTTCGCAGCTCATGATCGATCATAACATTGTGAGGTTTAACATCTCGATGTATTATGCCCTGCGAATGGCAGTAATCCAATGCCTGCAATCACGAGATAAGTTTTGAATTAGCCAATCATGCAAAAGCTAAACCAGTACAGGTCAGAATCATGGCATTCAACCTCTGTGTCTGTTACACAGAATTTACAATTTTATATTTCTAATTAGCTCTACCAACCATCAGGGTTATCCAAGTATTAAGAGAAAAGGGCGGGCCAGGGTACAATTAGTTAGAAAAATCAATGTTTAGCAACAGGATAAAAAACCTTGAGAAGTTCATATATATAGTAGCGAATGTCGTAATCTGTCAGTGTGGGGTACAACACTTTGAAATCTGCACTGTTCACATATTCAAAGATCAAGCTGGGAGTTTTTGAGTGGTCATCCCGGACAATATCAAGCAGCTTCACAATATTTGGACCTCCACAAAGATTCTGTAGTATCTTTATTTCCCTCTTTATCTGCATGAATACCATTACTATGTTTCAGTTAAATTATATAAGGAAATGTAAATAAAACAACTTCTGACATACATGCACTTTTGTTCATCGTATCATTACCAAGACTCGGAGTTTTCTTCAGCATGACAGTTTTATCCCAAAAGTACAGGAACAACTTTAATAAAACACACCTTCTTTTTCTTGACGGGTTTAAGGATCTTGATAACGCATTTTTCATTGTTGGTGACATTTACACCTTCAAAGACCTCACTGTATTTTCCTCTGCCAACCTTCCGAACAACCTCGTAGTCATCTTGATCACTGAGCAAGAAAAAATATTAAGCATAAATAAGAAAAATAGTTGGGAAAATTCACCTTAAAAATTCATGGTGAAAAACTCAAAAGAAACAACAACAAATAATAAAATAAAAAACCTCTAAAATCACTGAATCCTTCCAAGAAATGCAGTCCAATGCCATGAAAATCAAATAATCAAACAAGTAACCAGTGGTAAGCCTCAGCAATCAAACTATCACTTATTGGTTCTAGCTATATTGATAAACCAAAGGAACACAAAAACAAGTTTATCTGATTCAATTATTCAAACTGCATCAAGTACCCCGACCCTGGAACCTTCAATTGCAGCACACACAAAACAATGCAATGCAATGCAGCAAAGATAGAACAGACAGCATTATCATTTTCCCTTCAAATTGGGATTTTTCTGCACCTTCAACCAATTTGAAGCATTTGAAAACATACAACACAAACCAGAAAGCTATAATCTACCCTAGATTGTCAATTAACGATTCATATAAAAGTAAGACAAATAAATCAAATATTTTCATTGCAATTGTTATTTTTACCCCCATTGAAGCGTGTGAGATTCGTAATCCCAGTAATCTCTAGGGCGGTGGATGTTGATGTCTGCGTAGACTCGAGCCCTGGACATGTCTACCCGGTTGACCTCTCCTCCTCCTTTTTTCTGTTATTATTCGCGCGACGATCAACAACACCCGAGTTGCCCTAGCAGAGCAACCAGTGATATCTTTTTTTATTATTTCATTTTGTATTGTTTGGTCTTATTTTGTTACGCTCGATGTTCAAACGGACTTTGTTTATCAAGGCGGAAGAAGCTATCGGAAGATGTTGAGGTTTCCTGTAATTATTTATTCCGCGAAAAATTAACGGACGATGTGTCAGCAGACAAATAAAAAGATTTCCAAAACTAACGGATGCTTTTTCTTATTCCTTTTTTGCTTAATATTTACTAGCCACTTGGTTCTCTTTTTTATTTTTTATTTTATTTTTAGTATTAAGAAAAGATAACATGGGTAGTTATGTTTCATAAAAGTAGGACTTATTATCTGAATTTGTTTTTCATTTTAATTTTTTTTAAGATGAAAAAAAAATGTGAATTTACCATATTATCCTTATTTAATTAATAAATTCAATTATTAATGTTTGAATTAACCAATGACATTTTATGGTATTTTGAATATTTCACCATTCTCTGCCTTTTGTTTTATATATATAGATCAATGAATTTATAAATATAGATAATGTATATAAGTTTGATTAATCTATTAAACTGTATGTAATTTAAATGGGGGAATTCGAAGATTCAAACTTGAGTGTAAAGGGGTGGACTTGATGCACAATTATAGTCTTACAAAATCGAGTACCAACTTGATATATAAATTGAACTTTGAAAGTTTTATGTAGGTAACTCATTAAAAAAATTAATTGAAATTGTGCGGTACAAATGTGACAAGAACGATTATAATTAAAAATTCTATGTAGCTTAGGTAGAAAGAGAATTCACAAACAATCCACATCCATTTCTACATGGCGGTAAGACTCTTATCTTAATCCAATGTTTATGCTCACTCGCTACTATTATTAAAGCATTTTTACTCCATGGACACCAAAAAATATAATTTTTCCTATTGGACTTAAAAATGATCAAGAGCTCAATTATGTGAGTCCCAACAAAAACCAAAACCTCACGAGTGTGATTAGCGGTTGGGTTTAACGTTAAGATAGGCTAAATTGGTTTAATGTCAAGATTAAGATAGGCTAAATGGGTTATTAAGAGCGGATAAATGGGTTTAATGTTAACAGAGGCTATGGTGGAGGGCATGGAGTAGTGGTGCGGCTAAGACAGCGGCATACTATAGGAGTGACGATTGAAATCCTTGAACATGAAAAAACTCAACAACAACCAATCAAATCAAAACTGACAATAAATATTCTTCATAATTTATTTTCCAATGTTAAATATTTGTTATTTTTTATAAAAATAAATAAATTTATTAAAATACAGATGGCACAATACACCTTAAGTTAAGGTAGGGAGGAACAAAAATACACTCCAAAGCAAAAGGCGTTGGATACGGACATAGCCCAAACTGTAAACTGACATCTGGCAGATGATAGAAACTCTATGAGAATACATAATCGCGTCATAATTTTTTCGAGTTAGGAGAAAGTCAAAAAAAGAAGAAGTTAATTCAGTTTGAGGAAGGCAATCAGAAAATCGTTGATAGGGGACATCCATAGAAGATTAGAAGAAGCTTCTCTCCGAGAGGAGAGAGGTCCACATAAGACAAAAGAGTGAGTTAATTTTAGTTGCAATTATCATATCATCACCATCTTAATTTACTTTGGTTCCAAATTTAAATTTGATTTCTTTAAAGCAGATATTGTGATCTTGATTTGGATTCATTCAATCCCAATGGAGTGGTGGTCGCGAGGAAAGATGAAGTATCCGGTGCGAAAATTTTGTAGTCGGGTCACTACCTGCCTCGACATTCGCAAATCAGGTAAGTCATTTGATGTTTTTTTCTTTTAACATAAGTGATATTGGGAAATGAAAGATTCGAACACAAAACCTGCATGTTTCATTAAATTAACTTTTACATAATTGGATGTTCCATGTATCTATATATAAAAATTATACGCAATTATATATTAACATGTTATTATATTTAAGTATGATTATGTTTTATGAAGATTGAGATTAATGTGAACAGGGCTACCGAACCTACAACATGATATAAGAAGTTGTGAGTACGATGATGTGCATGTGATGTGGAGGATGCTCAACCCAAATGAGAAGACGGAGACGATTCAATTGGGAGGAAGCTCCAAGAAGAAACGTTTCTCGAATTTATCAAATTGGTTTAAACGAACGCCTTTTGTTTGCCGTGCCTTTTGAATTTTGAACACCATGCCGTAAATATATAAATATAAATCAATATGCCCATCATAATTTTGTGTCTAGAAATTAAGGTGGAACATATAATTTGGTTGATTTTAAAAAAATAAAATTGTGGGATCCAAATATTAGGTGGTGTCTCTGTTATTCTCCAATCGTGTCGGCGCCCAGCCGTCCGTCTGTAGATATCAACGGTTTATGTCTTCTTCTATTATTAAATAAACTTTATTTTATTTGTGCATATATTTGTCTCTCAGAGTTTTATATTCTAGCAGCAGCATGCATGTTTTCTTTCTACGACTTTTTGCCATTTGAAAAATCTACCTTACAAAATACATTTTAGTTTTCATCCCATATTAACATTTGAAACATTGATTGAAATTGTTCTAAAACATTGCTGAGTTAAGTCAGTTGGCTAAAATAGTGTGCTCGCTTTCTTTACTTGAGCTTGATCTCTCTTTCTGTATATTAAAGTAGTTTAAAATATCACTTTATAAATAAAAACAAACAATATTAACAAATATTTTTTTTTACAACATACTATGAAGTTGTTACACATTTATTTGATGCTTGACAACATAGAGTTGAAAATGGTAAATTGGTTGCCCAAAATTCAGCTGGCTAATATGAATTTGGATAAAATTAGAGGATCCCTTATTAATTTTCGTCTTATATATTACGTATATGATGAAAGGGCATCAAGGCAAAAAACGGTCATATTATATTTTTTTGTTCTAGTAGTTTGACTCAATTTTCATTTTGGTCCATCTCATTTTAATTTTGACAATTTAAATACTGTAATTTAGTTTGATTTGGTTTCAATCAAATCCAAATTACAAGTTTCATGAAATAAATATATAAAATTCAATGTGACAATATGCAATAACCACCATATTAACCGAGATATGAAGGATCTAACATAAACTTTTCAAACCGTACATCTCTTATGGGCTTGCTTAAGCCCAATTGAAGGGCCTAATACCCGTCCATCAAAAATTACAAAAAAGAGAAAGAAAAAAAGAAAAGAAAAAGAGTCTATCACGTGGCGATTGGAGGATGAAACGCCTCGTTACATGGAGGCGGCAAGAATGACTAAAACGCCGCGTTTCAGTCCTAGACCTATAAAAGGAACTAGAATTTACAAAATGGCAGTCATAGGATTAGGGTTTAGAACTCCATCGTTTTCTTGCAGCTGCAGAGGCAACGCAGTGAGTGGAAGGCGGCCTTCCAAGACGACCGAGCAAGAACCAAAATGGGCCATTCCAACGTTTGGAATTCTCATCCAAAGAACTACGGGCCTGGTTCCCGTACGTGGTATGAATTTCTTCCTCATATCTAAGCCTCAATCGTTCTTATATTTTGCAAGTGTTTGATCTAGGCTTGTTTCTGTTAGTAGAAATTTTAATTTAATCAGCATTTCCCTGTTTGAGATTTAGATTATGTATGCTAAATTACTTTGCTAAAATATCACTGTGTATCACTTGATTGGTAAAATGTTAGCACAATCGCTTGATTAGTAAAATATTAGCATAATCACTTGATTAGTAAAATGTTAGCATTATCACATTATTGGTAAAATATTACGGTCTTCTATATGACGAAGTATTTCAGATTTTAGTTTTTTGGCTTTTGAAGATTTTTTGGTGAACGACATGTCTAATGTGGAAAACTTGTTTGTTACTTTGGACAGCCGGGTATGTGGAAACCCTCATGGGTTGATCCGGAAGTACGCCTTGATGTGCTGCAGGCAGTGCTTCCGCAGCAACGCCAAGGAAATCGGCTTCATCAAGGTATAAATTCCAATCCTTATGCCCTTTATTTTGTTATTTTTGGTGCTCTTTGGATGGTGTAGGATATAAGCTTTTGTACTCGTTTCCCTGTCCCATTTCAAGTCGCAATTTCTTAAAATGTCCCCTTAATACACCATAAATTTAGCTTGAATGTTCTGGGTTGGTGTTAGTTTTGCAAGTTTTGTATTGGTTTTGGTCACTTTTGTTCTGCATCCGTTCTTGGTAACTCATATACATATTCCTTCCTCCAAATAAATTGAAGTAACAAATTTCAATGTACAGAAAAAATGTACCAGATTGATTTGTTGATGGAAGATACGTATCTTTAATTTGACCAATCATTATTATCTATAGTTCTATACAGCTTTTTTTGCTTGTTATTAGTTTGTGTATGTATGTATGTATGTATGTATGTATGTATGTATGCCAATGTGTTGAATTTCAATTTACAGAGAAAATGTAGCAGATTCATTTGTTGATCAATTATTAGGATCTATAATTCTATACAGTTCTTTGGCTTGTTAATAGTTTGTGTATTCCCTATGTGTTGAATTTGAAATGATACTGATTCTGTGTTGGTTGTATCTTCATTGCAGTACCGCTGAAAGTTGAAAGCATCTGATTTTGCATCGGCCATGAAGATGTCAGAAATATGGAGCTGGAGAGCTTTTTCTTTTGTTGCTGTTACTTTTCCTCTTTTCTTATTTAAGATGATAATGTAGCATATCTTAAGCTTGACAATTAGCTGTTGACTGGGCCGTTGTTGAAACTATTTGTTGGGTCTAAATTTTATTTCCAGTTGCTATCTCTTTACCTTTGGTTTCAACTTTCAATTGATGCGCGCTTTGGTTGTTGATGCTTCAATGGTTTTGATTGGGTTTATAATAAATTTTAGACTATTGTCACTAATCGTTTGATGCAAGAAGAATAATGACAAACGTTAGTTGTTATCGCATTTGAGCCCATACTTTGTTGGCGAAGAAGAATTTGGAACAAAGATATCCATGGCATGATGGTGGTTGGTGTCCTGCACACCATCTTTGATTCCCGCAATGTTCGTTTTAAACCTAGTTCCAATATTAAAAAATCAAAGTCATTGAGCCAACCGAAAAAAGGGAAGAAAAAAACACAAGTTAATTGGTTTGTATCGTAAATCTTAAATTCTGAAAGTCCATAAAGATCAAAGTGTGTGTTTGTTAATCGTGTTTTGCTTTGGTGATTTAAGATGATTAAAACCCAATATTGAGTGGCACTAGGCTTTGTTGGACTGTTTTGCTTTGGAAAAGAATTAGGGAAAAAAAAAGGATCTAGAATTTAAACAAAAATATGGAGGTGCGGGGAATCGAACCCCGTGCCTCTCGCATGCGAAGCGAGCGCTCTACCATATGAGCTACACCCCCGTTGTTGTGTACTAGCTGTTAAACAGATATATTATCGTTAAAGAACGTCAACATTTTCGAATGGGCATGCAAATGGCGCTCTGCCAAATGCCACAGACGTGCCCAACAGCTCACATTCCACGGCAACCCTTGAGCACCGATGTCTTTTCATTCCCCCTCCCCACTGCAACACTAAATGAAGCACTAAATACTCTGCAGAACACAGATGCAGTAAATGAAGAGTCAGTGAAAGCCACATGCTTTCTTTTATGATTTCACTTACCACAAAAACCAAAAAAGCAATAATTAATTTTTTTGCTACATATTCTAAAATGCAAGACATGGGTTCTTCTTAGCCACTCTTGTCATCTCCCCTGAATTCCTGGTGGACTTTGTTGCCCTCTAAATCTTGGTGTGACGGTAAGGCCGGTGATTCTGTTTCCAGCTACTCCCTTCGTATGAAATTTCTCATGGGTTGAGTTGCTTAAAGCCTAAAGGAGATTCATAAGTTTTTGAAGAGTCTGAGAACAAACAAAAAAACCCTCTTTCTTGGGGACATTGTCATTTGGCGTAATTGCAAATATTTCTACATGATGAAGGTTTCTGGGTTTTGGGTTTTGGTTTTGCTGCTTGGAACAGTTCTAGTACTAGTCCTTGATGTCTCTAGCAGCAGAAATGGCTACTCTTATCCAGGTAATTATTTCTCTTTGATTTATTTGAAGTTTCACTTTTAATAGTAGCATCTGTGTTCTGCAGAGTATTTAGTGCTTAAAATGCCAAATTTCTTTCAATTAATTGAAATATTTCTAGAATGTTCTAATTTGAATTCTGTTTCTGGAGTTGATCTATCAAGTCCAAATCTTCATTATCTGGAATATGTGACATGCTGAAACTACAATCTGCCTAATGTTTTCCCAGATTTTGTCTTCAACCACCCTGATGTGGGGCCAAAAAGGATAGCTATAAGTAGGAAGCTCAAGGTACATGAACTCTACAAATGATTGTCTACGAGAAGTTTGAATCACTCAATCAGAAATCTGTGTCTGTTTGATTAATTGCTATTTAATCAAATTTCTTGATGATGTTGGGTTTTGTTGTCTCTGGCTCTCAAACTGCTCTCAAACTACAGGAGAATGGCTACACTCCGAGCACACAGAAGAAAGGCAATGTGAGAAATGTGAATCTGGATGACTATCACCCCATTGATCCTTCTCCAAGTTCAAAAGCTTCCATAAAGCCGGGTCCGATTGAGCACGGCACGCCTATAATCCCATACATTCCAAAGCCTTTACCTCCTGCTCATCCCAGTCCTGGTGCCATTTCTTAGCCACCTCATGACATGTTCCTCTATTGTGTCTGTTCATGCTAGAAATCTTTATGTTAATTTCAACTTAGTAGTTGTTATCATAAGAAATGTTGTGTATAATGTTCATGCAACAATTCAGACTTCTGTGCATGCCCTGTACTTGTTTGCGTTTTGTCATCATATGAAGTTCTTGTGTCTTTAACAACCTAAAAATAATTTGCAGCTTCTTATGCAAGTTCACTGTTCTGTTAGATTCTTTCTTTAATCTCTATCTGAACTGAGATGCATATAAAAGTGATTTAAAGTTTGATACTCTTGGTAGTTAATTAAGATCATGGTCGTCTTGGAAAAGGGTTGACATTGAGATAATACCCTTTTAGCTTACGATTAGTGTCGTTAAGTGAGGGCTTTTGGTTACTAAATACGTGTTAGGTGGCGGCAGTGACGATGTTTAATGACCTAATCTAGGCCACTAGTTATCATCATCATAGAATATATAATAAATATGGAGGTCCCAAACCTTTTCTCTCAAGCTTTTTGGGGTCCATTTGTGCTATTTTTTCTTCTTCATTACTTTTCACTTTTCCCTAATTCTATTAACGGGATGATTAGTTCTCTTTTTTTTTTTGGTCATGGGATGATTAGTTCTCTCGTAATATGGTCATTAATTAAGTAATAGTACTATATTTTTAATAAAAAATTTATTCAACAACTATCTTTCATTTATCATTTATATTGTCATGACTCGTGCATCCCTCTTTTTATTACAATTGAAAAGAAAAAGGCTTAAATTTTATTTGCAAGGTCATAATATAAGAGTTATAAAAGAAAACTCAGCCTTTGTTGTTGTCCCTACAGCCACAGTTCTCTTTTCCAGGCTTTGCGAGTGGAAAGAGAAGCATCCTTCAGTGATTAAAGCTAGGGGACCATGACAAATTATCACTTCCCCCAAGCATTGAGTATCCATAACTTTGAACGTGGGCTACCATGCTCAAGTTTTAGAAGGAGGGATTACCTAACCTAATTAGGTTTAGTAACTTTAACATCAATTATAGTACACGTTGTGATTAATCAAGTAGGGTTTCCCAACTCCTAACCATATATAATTTATTAACGATGATTAGGTTTATGATGTTTATGTATTTCCATTTTCATGGATTGGTGTGGTGGGTGTACGGCCAAAAAAATTGGTATGCTTAGTTGAGCGTTCTTATTTGGGATTCTATAAGAGACGGTTTTATTCATTTTTCCACCAAGCGAGAAATTCAACGATGTCTAACCTAATGACAAAAGGTCTTAACTTGCAGACCAATGGTCTTAGCACCCAGGTTCGAACCCCCATGACAACTTAATAGTGTGTGTGTGTAAAAAAAATAAGCTCTCTTTATAGTTTAGACTATCACTTGTATTAAAAAAAATATCAAAAAAAATATTGAAAATTTGGCATAAGTCCAATTATGAGGAGAGATTTTGGGTGCAATCCACGCAAAAATTGTTGTTAATCAAAGTCCTTTGACTTTTGAGCCACATAAGATTACATGTCTATTTCAATTTATTGATATTTACTTTTTTTTATTTTTTATTTTTTGTTCTAGTTATGCACCTAAAACATAAATAAGGTAAATTATGAATTCCTAAAACTGGTAAGTTATTGATTTGTAGGATATTAATTATCATATTTGATTTGAATTTAATTGCAAATCTATTTATTGAATTCTGAAATTTTCCCAAGGTATACCGACATCAAAATTTATAATAAGAGTTCATAAAAACTTCATACATTAACAATAGGTAAGGTACCTATGCATACAACTCGTATGCAGTATGCATGTAATTAAACCCATAAATTACCTCTGGTCCAGGTAATTAAATCCATAAATTACCTCTAGTCTAGGTAGTTATACCCTCTAACCCAGCTAATTGAACTCATATAATATCTTGGTATGGATCTTTAAACTCAACTGAGATAAAAATCGATACAAAATTTCTTTGGAAAAAAGGAAAAAACACTATTACATGGAAGACATGTACGTATGTATATAAATATGAACCTCCAGAAAAAACTACTTAAGAAAACTCAAGAAAAAAACACTTACCTTAAGGCAAGTACATATATACCTGTATATATTAACATTATTTACCTGTCTGTCAGGTACATAATTTAATGTGGGTGTTTGTCTGATCGATTGGGATATTATGTGAGCCTTTACTTTTTATTGATTAAATTGTATTTTATCTATATATTAGGAATATTATCAAGGAAAAAAAAATTCAAAATTCAAAATTTGGAATTCAATTTCAAGGAAATAATGAATTGAATTTAGATTTTCAATGTGTTTTCCTTATTTACCTTAAAGGGTAAAATCGACACAACAAAAAAGTAATAAATTTCAAAGGACCTACATCTAAAACCAAAAACACGAGGACTAGACCCAATAACAGCTAATCGTTTTGGACCTAGATCTAAGAACCCCAAAAAAATATCATGCCATCGTTATCAAAATGATGTAAATTGATAACATCTTATTAAAAGTGTGGATATTCAATCATTGTCCATATTCATGATGATGGCATTTGTATAGAAATCTTGCAATATGGCAATATCAATGCACCATCTTTTGTCTCAATTCCTCTTTTACGTTATGATAGAGGAGGCCATAGGAGATGCCAGACTGCAGCCCATATATTCTTTACAAAATTAACACACTCGGGTGAAGTTAGCTGTAATACAATTGTACCTGGTTCCTTCTTTAACCAAAACGACAGAATTAAACAGTTAATTAATTAGTACACAAAATTGAAATGCATCCAGCTCAACTGAAAACTCCAAAAAAAAAATACTGCAGCTGTCTTGCATATTGTATCTGGTGAACAAAATGGGTGTCTCTAAACTTTACGAATATTTGCGTACTTAATATAATAGTTTGTGATTAATATAAATAGTTTGTAAGTAATTACACATATTCGGACTTCAAACGATAGAGAGACATGTAGGACCTTGAAAGCAAAGTTGAGAAAAAATTGAGGAACTGGGACAGAAGACATAGGCAGAGAGACTACAGTGGGGGACGGAGCATCCTAGAAAGATGCTTTCTTTCTCAAAGGTTGTAGATGATAACCATAAACCGTATAGTGTTGCTCCTCTTTATGTTGAGGAGTGGGGGCCTTCTGGTTTTTTCTTTTCCTGATCTGCATATATAGGCAATAAAACAGTAATCATGCATGGGTCCTTGAGAAGCAACAGGGAGGGGAACTGGCATCCAATTTAGCTTTTGTTCTTTCATCCATTTAGGCAGGCAGGTATTTGTTTTCTCTCTTTTCTAATGCAATGCTTGCTTGCCACAACTAGTATTCTATGGCTACTTATTCATCATTATGCCTCTGCATTTATTCTTCTATTTCCCATCTTTATTTCTCTCCCTATTTTCTTCTACAATTATAGAAAAAGATAGATACTTTCCGGCCCAAACTAATTTATAACTCCATAATCGATGAAGATCCCAATGTTTAATATAGGTGTGATGGTCGTACAATATATCCCACAAGGGAAAGTATCTTTTTTTTTAGTGCGAATAACAGTTTACCAAGTGTAAGCAAATTATAAGCATAAATTGCCTATTTGGCAAAGCTCTTTTTACACGGTTAACACGGTTGCTTTGTTAATTAATCTCAACGAAAGAGATTAACAAGCTATACTTTTCTGCGTGGAGCTGGCAAAGTATATATATATAGATAGAATAAAGTCATGTTAAAATTCTGTGAAATTGAGTGCCCACGAATTAAGGACTTTCAGAATTGGTCCTGTTTACTCCTTAAATCTTAATCATGTTTCGCATGCGTGTGTGTTATATCATTGTCCGCAGTATAAGATGCTTCTCATATGCGTATTAGTTTGTGGTCTCAACAATTTTTCTTTTTTAGAAACAACCAAACACACACAAATACATAGAGTGTTGGAGAAGGGATTGAAAACAAAAAGGAGAAAAAGAAAGACTGATAGATAGGGCTTGCTAGTTCTTTGAAGAAAAGGGCCATCACAAATTGAAAAGACAAGGTACAAGGTTGAAATATATCTAAATGGAACGTTGGTGGAATTGATATTTCAACCATGAACCCTAATCTCAAAATCCCTCCTATTTAACAAAAGACGTATTAATGTAGTGATTTGGAGCAATTTCTCCCCCAGGAAAGGTTCTAGGTTCGAGAGTACTAGCATCTTTATAGTGTGTATGTGAGTTTAATATATTATCGTACCTCTCAATAGAAAAATATCTTAAACATAAAAACTTAAAAATAAAAATCTCCTCCTATATATGGATAAGTATGAAGCTTGTAGTAACGTTTCTTTAATTACGGCAGTGAAAACGGTAAACTTCCATATAGTGGGTTTAGAGTGGAAGTGAAGTCCAAGTTTATATAGGATGCAATTCTGAGAGAAAAGCAAGGCAAGTCTGGTAAGAAAGCTCCCTCTTTTATAATAGTGTAGTTTAGGGCATTTTTAACATTAACAATGTTAATTAATTAAGCACATTTCGTGTTAACTCCCTTGAATCATTGACATTAGCTTTTAAAAAAAAAGCACAAAATAATACACAAAAATACCATATATGTTGACTAGCATGTAAAAAAACTATGTAGTTGTTGGTGAATGGTGACTGATAATCACATCACCAAAGTTTGTTTTGTTCGGTGGGCTCAAAGCAATCATAATTAGTATGTTAAAAAAAATTAGGGATTGGGGTGGGAGGGAGTTGGTTTGGTCCGATATCATTGCATATAAAACAAGGCAAGATTTTGAATGACTTGAGATTAACTTAAAGAGAGTTGGAGTTACTAAGCATAAAGGAGGTTGATTGTCCTTTTTCACTTTTGTAAGATTCAAAGTTAGCTAAGCTAGCCTTGTAAATCACTTTGCTAATCAGCACATTGTTTGGTGACTTTTCCTTCATAATTTCACCTTCTTTTTTAAGGAAAATACTGTAAACTCAATTTATCAATAGCTAAAATGTGGTTAAAAAAAGACAAGGAAAAAGGAGCAAGCTTATGATAACACCCACCTGGAACCCAATAGAAAGTAGAACAAAACCTTTAATGAGTGGCAAAGTGTTGAAAGCTCCTAATATTTTAATCTAATGTGTATCTTCGTCATCCTTCTCAATAATTGACATGTGTAATGTATAATCATAGTTAATTATTT